CCCCGGGACGGGAGGGGAGGGGGGAGCCCCGGGGGTCCCGTCCCTCTGCCGCGGGGAGCGGCCCAGGGTAAACCCTCCTAATGCAAGGTAAAGCTAAACCACGTATATCCAAAATAGAATTGAAAACCACCCAACAAAGTCTTAATCTGTCCAGGCTTATTTTAAATGCTTCCACAAACAGAAGAAGCGAAGTAAAAACAAAAATAATTTTGACAGCATAGACTTTTAAAAAAATATTAGTACTTGGGAATTTTGAGGAGGGGACTTGCTTTTCTGTCCCGAACTAGAATTTCTTACTGGAACTATCTAGGCAAGCCTGAACCTGGAAAACATAGGAATCCCGTGTAACTGTGTAAACTGCCCATCAAGAAACTATCTTGTAAGGGAAACCAAAGATCTCAACAGAGCTCCAAGAGAGCTGTGGCTGTGAAGCATGGCTGGTGCTCCTCGGCACCAGGAGCAGGACTTCTGCTGTGCTGTGTGCCCCTGAGAGGTTTAGAAAAACGGCATGAAGGAGACGTCAATGCCTTGAGATAGTAAAGGACGCTTTGGTTCACCAAATACAGGAGACAAAGCAGCACAGAAAAATTCTGTGGTGCCAAATCAGTGGGTGATAAAATTGTAAATTAAGGTTAGTGTTACTAAGTACAAAAGGAAAGCATATGGGAAAAAAAATCCTAATTATATCCACACAAGTATGGTTCCAAAAATTTACTATTCAGGAAGGAGTATGAATTACGGAATTAGGTGCAGTTATGTAGAAGAGTAGCAAATACACAGCCAAAAAGCTAGTGTAACTCATTAGGAAAGAAATAGAGAATCAAATCAAAAATTAAAATCATGACACTGTATGAATGCATGGCGTTCCCACAGGCTGAGCTGGTGATTCTCTCACCTTCTCACCTAGAGAACTGGACGAGATAGAAAAGGGTGTTTAGGGGTATGGAGCTGCATCTGCACAAGGTGACCATAAAGAGAGTAGGACTCTCCATCTGGAAAAAGGCAAATGATGGCAATGCTCTTAGAATCCTGTACAATTACAAACAGTGGGAAAGAGACAATGTAAGTCTTTGCCATTTCTTGTAACAGAAGTTGTGGGGAGGACTCAGAGAAGTTACCAGGAAGCAGGTTTAAAAGAAACTATATATTCTATATCCTTAAATGATACTGTTTGTAGTCAGATGTGGGGTGCGCTGATGTAGGAAGTTCTGGAGATAAGCACAGATACGGGTCAGAGATGGCTTAGATGGGACCTGTGAAATGACCTGACGGTGCCTGTGCAGGGCCGGTGGGACTTGGCTGATCCTGCACAGCCGGCGGGTGCTGCGCCCCAGCCCCGGCCCCGCTGACCAGCCCGTGTCTAGGGCCAGCGAAGCTTTCACACCACCACCACAACCAGTGGCACAAGTACCACACCAGGCACTCACCACGAAATCGGGGTCAGTGTCCCAGTCGTCTCCCTGAGCCTCGACCTTCACCGACACGTCGTGTCCCACGACTGCTTTCCACATCTGCGCAGGAAGGACGCGGTGTCACCTAGAGCCCCGCACGGGCGCCGCCGGCTCACTGCCGTGTTAGACCGCAGCAGCCCTGGTGTGACTCGGGCAGGGGGAGACCCTTGCAGGCCACCTGCCCCGGTGATCTCTGTCCCCTGTGCAGCACAGGGCACCCAGAGTAGCTACTCCTGAGCCCCAGCACCTCTTTCAGCAAAGCACACCGGGATTTTAAGTGTAAACCACAGTCTTCAGGCACACTGACTCCACAGTTCAAATGCACACCTTGTTTTAATGTAACTTAGTGCCAGCATCCAACTACCAGATTCTGCTTTTCCAACATACATTAAATTTTCTGTGCTGTGGGAGACTGTTCCCTGCTTTACCCTCCCTTCTGCTAAGCACACTCACAGCACACCACCGGAGGCTGTGGCTTGCTCTGCCACCATGATACAAAAATTAATTACCTGAGGTTAGACTCCTCAAGTCTCTTGTCTGTCCTCCAAACTTTTAATCATTGCCTAGTCTGCTAAAGAAGGTTCAGAGAAAAGCTGTATGCTGGTCTGACAGTGCTGGTACAGCATGCTGTGTGGTGTTTGTGTCTGTTGTTTTGTAAAAACAGGAAATGGGGCTAAAATCAGTCGGTGTGCAGGGCTGAAAAGGCTGAAGCTGTGGTGGTAAGGCTTGTACAGGCTGTCTAAAGAGGCCTGGAGGAAGTGATAGGCCCAGGAAGAGGAAGTTAAATACAAGTAATGTGAAATCTAAAACTCCCACATTTCATTTTCAAGGTGACTGTGAAAAAAGATGATGAAAAAGCCCCTTCCAAAGAACACAAGTTTCTACAAAATGAGAAACAGAAGAAAGATTACGTGGGTCGCCTGCCCCTACACAACAGAGCAACCATTCTCAGCAGAGCTCTCACATCCCACCACCTATTACTGCTGTGGTGGTTGAGGAGCCCCAAATTGTTCTTGCTGTCACCCAAAGCAGCTTTTCACGAGGGCAGACAAAAAGACTGAACAGAATGTGCAGTGAAGACGGGGCTGCTGAGCCCTGTTTCACATCGCTGCAAACATCCCATAAACCTGCGAACAAACCAACAGGAGGGAGGAGAACTGCTTTGCGATGGATCTCATTTAACAGCACGCTTTTATTATGTGATTCTCAACAGCACTAACTCCTCAATCCCATAGCCACACAGTAGCCTACAAACTGGCCCCAAGGGCACAGGACAGTTGCTTTCTGTGCAAGCAAAACGTTTCTGCTGAACAAGTAATGGTACAACACACGAAGCTGTTACGTGAGAACCCTTCCAGGTCAGTGCAGTGCACTGTTCAGCTCCCTGTCAAGCCGTCCAGAGAATGAGCACTGTCAGACCAGGGAGCAAAGACAACAGAAATGAAGAAAGCACAGCAGGGATGAGTCTTTTTGTTAAAGAAAAATCCAGATAGTTAGCTAAGGGAGAGGACACCGGGCCAAGGCAGATTTATGGGGAAGATCTGGCTTTAAGGCCTTCCCCAGGCTGCCTCAGGGGAAGGAAACCCCCCCGACTTGTCAGACTCCAGAACTCAGCAGGTCTGTGACATACTTGGCTGCGCTTGTGTGCACTGACAGCAATCTTAACGACAAACTGAATACAGCTAATTGCAAATAGAAACAGGGGAAGCAGGAAGGCTCACGTGGACAAAATAGCACAATCTAAGAATACCTTTCTTCTCCTTTTCCCCTCCCTCACTCTCACTCCAAATATTTTTAAAGTTTGTGGCTCTTTGTTAGCGATACAATAGCAGCAATAACGAGTTAGCGTAAGGCTGTTCACTAGGGCAGCTGATTAGAGCAGCTCAAACGCAGGTGGTTCAGGATTTTGCTGTAAATGGTTCTTAACCCCCCGCTCTCCAAAGCCACCCACCAGCATCTTGGGAACCACGACAAACCACAGGCTGTAATCACACCACAAGGCTCCAGACACCCTCTGCAGTGAGGAATATCAGGCAGAGCAGCATCTGAACCCTTTAGTTTGTCCCATTTTTCCCCTTGCAAGAATCCACTAGAGCACAAATACAGGGCTACCACACTTAGCACAGCTGTGCTATTTGATTTGAAATGTGGTTCTTTAGAGCCTCAAACACAAGAGTAACAACAATGACCAGACAGACCAAGCAAATGCCAAGCACTACCAGCTCACACATGCTGGGTCAGAAAGGAGGTCTCTTTGCTCACCAAAACCCTATAGTTTTTGGTTGTTGTTTCTCACTCTCCACTCTCAAAACCCACTCAGCTTTCTTACCTTAAAAGGCTCACCAGCTCCTGCTAGCAAACTTGCTTTTTGCTCAGGCACCTGTTGCTAGCGACAGCTTTTGGACGGGTGTGTGCTCCGAGTTCCTGTTTTAACTTCAGCTATCCTCACTTCCTGCGTCCCAGCCCCCAGCTCTGCTCAAGTCGTGAGCACCAAAACCTGCCCTGGTGCGCTGCAGCGCCCTTGCAGCTGCCTGTGCTCGGGGATGCTGATGAGGCGGGTACCCAGGATGCAAATCGGTGACTCCATGAGTAGCACTTGATGGGGCACAATTACATTTCTTAGCATGCAAAACCAGGTTGGGATCTCCATTTTTTATCTCTTCCAAAAAAATCATTCTGCTGTAAAAGTGCAAAAAAGTTAAAAGGCTGAAGCTGCTGGGCTTGACAATTAAAATGAGATCCAAAGAAAGCAAGATACTGTTTACAGAACTTGTTATGAGTTTTGACTCAGTACTTTACAGCACAACTAAAAAAAAATATATATAAACACACAGACATATACACACATATATGTATATATACACATAAGTACACAAAAGCTCTTCCAGGACAAAACAATAAAAGTAAATAGCTTGAACTACAAAGATGGAAAACATGTAGTTAAAGAATCCTAAGCACTTATATATCAAACTCTGGTCATTACTTACTGGTGCAAAGTGCACAATTTTAGAACGAGTAGCATGAATCACACTAGCCTGACACTAGATAAATATCTCAAACCAAAATAACTTCCTTTCTGAATGAGTCAAGTGAAGCAAGAAGAGATCCTAGAGTAGTCATTACTATCTGACACAATGGCAAGATATACAGGGCTTAGAATAGAAGTTCGGTTACAAGGGACCTACCAGCATCATCTAGTGCTACTGCCTGACCAAAAGTCAGAGCTGCTGTTAAGGGCATTGTTCACATGCCTCAAGCACTGACAAGCTTGGAGGCATCAACACTCTCCAGGAATCCTGTTCAAGTGCATGACCCTCCTCTTGCTAAAGGAATGTTTCCTATCTGATACTGTCCCATGTGACATCCTTGTCTCTAAACTGGAGAAACATGGATTTTTTTTTGATGGACCACTTGGGGGATCAGGAATTGGCTGGATGGTCACACTCCAAGAGGTCAATGGCTCCACGTCCAAGTGCAGAGCAGTGATGAGCAGCACCCTTGGGGGTCGGGGCTGTTCAACATCTTTGCTGGGGACAGGGACAGTGGGATGGAGGCACCCTCAGCACGTTCCCCCCAACACCAAGGTGTGTGTGCGGGGACATGCTGAGGGGAGGGACGGGCCATCCAGAGGGACCTGGGCAGGCTGGGGAGGGGGCATGGGCAAACCTCATGGAGTGCAACAAGGCCAAGGGCAAGGCCCTGCCCATGGGTTGGGGCAATCCCCAGCACAAACCCAGGCTGGGCAAGGAGGGGATGGAGAGCAGCCCCCAGGAGAGGGACTTGGGGGGTGGAAAGCTGCCTGTGAGCCAGCACCGTGCACTGGCAGCCCAGAAAGGCCTCGTGTGCTGGGCTGCACCCAGAGCAGGGTGGGCACAGGGCCAGGGGGGGATTCTCCCCCTTTGCTCTGCTCTGGGAGACCCCCCTGCAGGGCTGAGTCCAGCTCTGGGGCACTCTGTTCTGTTCTGGAGGGTGTCACCTATGACCATATCTCACTGTTGTTATTTCTCAGCACTGGTCTTAATGCAGCTCTTGTTACCAGGGGTGGGTTGATCTGACCTTGGTGAAATGACTTGGTAGGTTCCTTCTCTCCCATCACGTGCTTTGTCTGCTATACCCAGAGCCTCGTACCTATTCCGTAAAGGCAGCTGAGATCGCAAGGAAGGGTTCTTACAGCTCTGTGCAATAACCTGCTTCCATTTCTCCCTGTCTCTTCTAACACTGCCTTCCTCCTGACACAAAACCAGATACTGGACCTGCCTCAGCTGGATTGGCTTCTGTACTGGAGATGGCAGAGCACAGTTCCACTGGTCAGTCTCCTTCTCAGACTCTGTTGCAGATAGATCAAAAAACATGGCAGGACAGGTCCAAAGAAGAAACAAAAAGTTAAAGTGTTTGAAACAAGAAACAATCTAAAACGCTACATCTTTCATTAGGTCAAACCACAAAACTGTTAGGTCAGGCTATGATTATCAGATCAAGAGTTCCTTCTGAGGTTTTATTTTATTTATATATTTAATCTAAACTGTAACTGTTCCATAAGGAGACAGCAGAAGCTTGTCTTAGTTGAGGAAAACTTGCATTGTGGGCTTTAAGGAAACATACTTTGCTTGTAATTCTTGTTCCTATTAAATACAGTGGAAACATTACCTATGGTCTTAACAGACCCCAGTACTAGCTTTTGTCCTGAGGGGGGTGGTGGACTGTAGTAGTGAATGTGCACAAAATAGTCTTTGGCTACAGAGAGCTGGAAAAGGACAGTATGTTTTAACTAGTCCCATCTTAGTAGCATGTTTCCAGCTTGCTGTTGCTAACTCTTGGGTTTGCACAACTCTAACAGGGTGCAGTGTCCAGTCACATGTGCCTGAACGCCAAGAAAAGTAAACCCAAGCAGATCTTGTTTTATTGAAATTGCTTTCACTATTAAAGTGCTGTTTCCTTTTGTCATTGCAGAAAAAGCTGAAAAAGGCTGAGAGAGGTGAGATAGGGGAAAAAAGTCACCAAGGCATTCGAATAATATGAGCAAACAGCTTCTGCAATCAGTGTACAGGAAGTGTACTCAGAAGTGACCAACAGCCCACGGTGGTCCTGTGAAAGCTATGACAGCAGCATCGTACCCTCAAGAGACCTCTGACATTTACATGACATTACACCAATTCCATCTGAAAAATAATCTTTATTATATATACAGGAGCACATGTCCCAGGAATCTATAGGCAAAATATTTGGTCACTGAATTTTATATAGTTGAAATACACACAGATAACCAGGGGTGGTGCACAAATGGATATAGAGTGCCAAAGTTCTGGACCTGCCAGAGATGCAGTTATTTTAGCTACCATGATGAAATCAATCCATCATCAAACAGGCTTTGTTCGCTGGAGAGACAATCTTGGTTTACCAGCAATATCAAAAGAACTACCTCCTTCCCAGGGGAAAAATGCATGAGGCAGATACAGCCCTTTTGGCAAGTACTCTGGGCAGAACGACCGGTCTCTGACAGGGAACTCGACTGGAACTATCTTCTTTGCATTCAGCATTCTCCTTTTGGAAGAGGGCAGTCACAGTTCCAGGGCATATTCAGGAGTTCTTTAGAAAACACAGCTTTCCATATATCCTATAAGGTCAAGTCCATTTGCATCAGTTTGTTTTAGATTCAAACAAGTCCAATGACCAGCACTAGCTTTCTACAGCAGGCCTTTCCTAAAGCAGAGATGCCAGGTTTCAGAACTCTAGTTCCTTCCTCAGTATAAGAGGAAACAGTTTTATTTCTGGAGCTTCTGCCTTTGATTTGGATTCACATTCCACATTACAGAACCCTTCCACAGAGCCTGTACAGGTTTAATCTCGTGACAAGGGTTCAGTGGATGAGAATGCAGGAGCATGGCTGCTCTCACTTCAAGAGGTCTGCAAGCACCTTCCATCCTGAGAGGTGCACAAATGCTATAAACAGCAAGGTTATTAACTTAAGAGCCAAAACGTTTCTTGTTTCCTACTCCTTTGCAATAACTAAATTACTACTTTATATGCTTGTCTGGGCAGACATATGACTGTTTTTAAATGGAATGCTCAGCAGGTCCAGATATACTAATTTTGGCCTTTCAACCAGAGATGCAACTGAACAGGAAACACAGTTTTGAAATTCAATTCATGTTCCTTGAAGTGTCCACAACTTCCTTCGGATGTGCATTTCAAACAGCACTGAGCCACAGAGAAAATCTAAAGGATGAAAGTGAAAAACCCTTTCTTTTGTATCTAGATACAGGGTTTCCCCAACCCAACTCACCAATTCAGTTTAAGAGGAGGAAGTTCCTGCAGTTTCTAGAACTGCTGAAGTACTGCAGCAACTCAAGAATGTTTTTGTTATTCCCACTACAACACAATACTATGCAAAATGAGTGGTGCTACCTCCAGGCACAGGAACAGATGCTGTCCTTGAAGCTTGTAGTGTGAGGGCCCTGACTCAAAACTGTGCCAGCCATTTGAAAACACCGAAGGAAAGGCAGACGTCCTGGAAACAGATCCCAAGCATTGGCACTGGCTGCTGCAGACTTGTACAGCAAGCAGCCTACATGCTGGGGGGAGCTGCTCCTTAAGGGCTGCTTTGGAAAAAGAAGGCAGCTGGGTGAAGGGCTGTCAATAGGGAATGCAGGCCCTCGTAACGCAGAGGGCTGTGGCTCAAGAAAAGGCTGTTTTTCCTGTTCATAGGTGGCCTGTAAAGCACAGGAAGAACAGGACATGGAGAGCAAGCAGATACACAGCCACGAGCAGAGGCAAGTGGGTCCGGGAACGGAAGAAAGAGCGTAACAGGCGTCGCAGTCCAAGGATACTCCGAGTCTGGAAGAGTAAAAGAGAGACCAGTCAGTACCAGGAATGGATACGTCCCCAGCTGTCTTCTCCCAGAGCTCTCCAGGCCACAAAGAGAAGTTTAAGCTAATGAGCATGAACTTTCCCAAACCCATTCCACTGTTGGATTTGACCTCTAGAGCCAATTCTCAGTGAAATATTCCCTTTCCTCTCTGCCAGTTTCTCATGAACCAGCTCTCTCCAATTCTGCTTGAGAAAGGGCAACAGAACACAGAACATCTCCCTCTAACATCTGTCCCTGTGAATTTCTAGCCCCTCCAAGTCAAATATAAACAAATGGATCAACAGGACTTTTTTGCTACAGCCTCGAGCTTAGGCCTCTTTTAGGCCTCTTTGGCCTAAAATAAAATTATTATTTATTTGTTGCATTCTTTCACCCTTACAGCTGAAAGGGCTTCTGAAGCTGTTGAACAAGCTGCTGTAGAGTGACCTTACTCTACAGGGGCTCTTCCAGGAGCCCTCGGACAATGTAACATCTACTAGCAAAGTTCCAGTAGAAAGAAAAAAATGTCTATTCTGGTAACAAACCCCAAGCACAACCAGAGAGTAGA